GCCCATCCCTATCCAGTTTCCCACTTTTTCTTCATCTCTATAACCATTTCTCACTTTGGTACAGTCTCTCCCTTACACTTGGATATAAAGGATCACTAGGAACAGCCTCCTGCAATGTTGGATGCATCATTTCAGTGTTGCTGCAGAATACCTACATCTCAGAATCTTAGAACCGCAGAGCCAGAAGGGACCCCATACATCATTGAGACCCGCAACTGTCCAGTGGGGGGGATCGAACTCCCAACATCTAGCTCCACAGGCAAGAGATCTAAATCATGGGCTATGGGAAACCAACGGAAAATGATGTTCAGAGGCTGCTCCATCTTGAAAAAGGGCACCCTGCTATATTTCAAAACTTTGAGATGAACTTCAAATCAGAGCTCAGCGAAGTCACACGGCGTTGGCATGGACCTTTGACTTTATGAAGGCTTTCGTATAAGCCAAAGCTGTTCTCTGTGGCATTTTTGCAGGCGAGATGGCTTTCAACAGCCGTTAACTGGTGGCATATCCTCTGCTGGAAAAGGCAGCTAGGGCTTCCTTTCGGAGTGTAAGGCAATGCATTATGATCTGGAATGACGTAAGCCAGTCTTATTCATGGCACGCCTCGCTTTCCTGCCAAGGAGAGAGCGAGAGAGGCATGATGGCCCTTGACGAGCGGAAACCGCCTCATTTGTCAGATTTCCATTTTCTTTTCTCATTTTTCTCCCCTTTTTCCTCAGCCGGGCTCCCCAAGGCAAGTTTTGCCTGACAAAAAAAAATTAAGTTAGCAGATTGTTTCACTTCCACGTGAGCCAGGCCTGCCTTTCGGCACCTGAGGGGTCTCTGAGGCAGTTCTTGCTCTCCTTAAGAGGGAAGGAAGTCAATCCCTTTGGAGCTGAACCCCACCAAGCCCCAGAGGGCAGAAGGGGTGCGCCGCAGACGCATCTCCAAAACCCATGAGCCACCCCCTCTTAAAAGGAAGACAAGCTGGCTTGGGGAGGGGAGAGACATTTTTACATCAAACTGCACAAATGCAAAAAAAAAAATAAAATAAATCCCAGCAAAGAGAAAAGGTTTTCATAATTTCCATGGCACTGTGGTGCATTTCACCCAAGTGGGTCAGCCCATGACTGGATGAGCTGCGGGCTGCTATCCAGTAATATTCCCCCACCCCCGATGGACCATTTCAAGTATCTGCTCCCCCCCTTTTAGGTTTCATTACCTTCCCCCCCCCCCGATGGACCATTTCAAGTCTCTGCTCCCCCCCTTTAGGTTTCATTATCTTTAATTTAAAATTAGATTGGATATCCTTTTGAATGAAGTGTTGTTCCACGACTATCCTTCAAATGGAGGATTTTCCTCCCCGGAAAGCTGCCAGCTACACAATCTAAATCTGTCTGTGAAATTCTTCTCTGTGGAGCGATTCTGCTTTGCGTGCTGTGTAAATCTTTTCCATTCAACTCATGTTTCTTCCCCTCCCCATCGCTCAGTGCTGGCTGTGGCCGGGGAGTGAGTGAGGGCAGTGAGTGAGGGCACAACGACATGCCGTTGGCAAAGTTGTTAATGGCCACTCGTTTTCTCTTTGTAAAAAAAGTAATTTTTGTCTTGTTTCTTCTGGGGAGGATAACATGCTTTGTTGGGGGGCATTTTGAATAGATTCCCCCCCTCCAACAGTTGCTTTCCTTCCTTTTCAGAATTATTTTCCCATGAAAAAGGAACAATTTAGTGCTGTCTTAGAAATTTTAGGCAAGGAGCAAACAGATGGTGAGAAATGATCACCTCATGTCCTTCTGGTCACTTCACTGAGTAAAGGGAGCCCTTGAAGGAGGCCAGGAACCCGCCAGGTCTTCTCGGTGGTGGCTCCTCGACTCTGGAATGAAGGGCCGCCCAAGATTCGCCAAGCCCCCTCTCTTGAGACTTTCAAGAAATCTTGGAAACTTTTCCTATTTTGGCAGGTTTTTCTAAACCATGTCATCTTTAAATGCTCCACTGTCAATGTCTGTTTAACATATATCCCCACCCACCTGATTTTAAATTAACTTTAAATGCGTATGTTTCCAGTGTTTTATTGTTGTGTAGCACCCAGAGTGACCATGGGTCAGATGGGCGGTTTAGAAGTTTAATAAGCAACCAAGCAAACAAGCAAGCAAGCAAAGGCAAG